CCACGTGATGACTTTTATTTTAGACATGCGCTGCCTTGACCTTGGCTGTCCTTGTGGTAGACTTGCAAGTGTTCGGAATGAGCCACAAGTTCTCTCTCTCCTGAGAGGACCCTTCCAGATCCTCCCAGTGACTACATGTTTAGACTCCTGAACTGCTTAGGTGGAAGGCTTCGGTGTCCTGTTTCTCAGGATACCACGCTGTCATTAGCATGGAGGTTTTTTCACATTGCTATACTTTTTTTTTTTTTTTTTTTAACCACGTTTTTTCCCCTCATTTTCCTGACAGCAGTGCTATGGAACAGAAGGTCGAAAGGGCCAGTTTGTTGTTAGACAATGTGGCACTGATATGGGTATCTAGTATGAGTCAGCTAAAACAATGGCTAACAGTAGACAGACCAGGAGGTTTGGAGTCAAAACAAAATGGCTGACACCAAATATCCAGAAACCCCTACGTAAACAGATGTTATACCTGTTATGTGACTGTTTTGTGCCAAATGCTGTTCTTGTGTGATTCTGTGTAAATGTGGCCTTCAGGTCAGGCCTGAGCCCTTGTCAGAGCGTTTGCCCTTATTAGCCTGCTTGTGTGTGTCTAACTACAGACCTGTGTGCCTACCTCCCTGTAGCCTGTGTGCTGGTCTGTGGGTATCAATGTGTGTGCTGGTCTGTGTCTGTGTGTGTCTATTCCCATCTGTGTGTAGTCAGTATGTTCATGTGTGTTTTTTTTTAAAAAAATTAATGTTTAATTCCAGCACTCAGGAGGCAGAGGCAGGTGGATCACTGTGAGTTCGAGGCTAGCCTAGTTTATATGGCAAATTCCAGGGCTAAATAGAGAAACCTGGTCTCAAAAAAACTAAAATGCCAACAGACAAACAAAAATCCCAAAGAGCTGTGTAGTAGACCCGAGCCTGACAAACATGGCGCCTGACAGGTTTTGCCCTTTTCCCCCTTTCCTTCTCTCTTGCTAAAAACCATTAGCTTGCATTCCTAGAGCTAGGAATTTGGGCTTATTTGGCCACCAACTCATTCCTGAGACAAAACACCAAGGTCTCACAATGAAAACTCACTATTTGGCTAAACTGACTCAGCTGTTCAATCAGGATTTACCAACTCCCTCTAGCACAGACTCCCTCTTTTTCTCCTTAAAAACTCACTCCTGAAAAAAAAAAAACCAACCAACCAACCAACCAACAAACAAAAAAACAAAAACAAACAAACAAAAAACCACAACTGCTTGCTGCTGCAGCTGGCTGTTTGCCCCTGCTTGATCCAGAGGCATCCCTCACCACCATTCCATCCTATCAGGGAAGGGGTTAATGAAGGTCCTTCGTGCTGAGAATTTGGTGTTTGGGTATGCTTTGAGCCGGCTCTGAGGGGCCGCTCTCCCTTACAAATTCAGCCCCAACCAACAACATATATGTGTGTAGATGTTTTGCCTGCATGCGTGTGTGTGCACCCTGAATATTTTTAGTGGCCACTGAGGCCACAAGAAGGTGCCTAGGATTGGAGTTACAGACAGTTGTAAGCTGCTGTGTCAGTTCTGGGAATTGAGTCCAGGTCCTCTGGAAGGGCAGCTGGTGTTTTTAACTACTGAGCAATTTATCAGGGCCTCTAAGGTTTGTCTTAGTCTATGACTCCTTGACTTCTCTCTAATTGCTGATCCTCCTGTGAACCTCCTCTTTTCCTGGCATCGTTGTTTAGATCTTGCAGTTTCCCCCCGAAGCAGGCATGGGAACTTAATTTCCAGTGCAGCAGTGCTGGGAAGGGGGTCTAACGATGGCTAGTTAGACACGAGCGGGAAGTCAAGAGCGGGAAGTCAATGGGTCAGTGCCATTGTCAAGAGAGTGAGTCTATTCTGGCCAAGTTTGACTGGTCTCCCTCTTACCTCTTGTTATGGATTCTACAGCAGAACGGGCCTCACTGAAGGCCCGCTCCTCAATTTTAGATTTCCTAGACTCTAGAACTACGAGCCAGTAAAATTTTTAAGTGACCCAGTGTTTGGTATTCCATTACAGCAGCATAAAAATGGGCTAAGTATGCCAAGCAGAACACAGGGGAGCTGTGCCTTTCCCAGCAGCATTTCGGACCCACAGGAAGAAGCTGTCATATGACTTTCCTTGATGGGATATGAAAAAAATGTCTGCCACCCTAGATAGGGTAGTGATAGACTAATGAAGAATTCCACCCAAGTTCAGTTTGGTGAAACAGGGAGTCCTGGGGGTTCCTCCCAGAGAACGCCCCTTTCCAGGCTGCTGTATAAGTGAAGAGTCTCCCTTGCAGCATGGACATCTCATGGAAAGCTGCGTCAGTGATGTGTAGGCAGAGTTGCTGAGGAGACTCTCTGCCTCTTCCTCTAGTCAGTGTTCATTTATCATATAGCTTTAGAGAGGGTCAGGACCTGTCAGATACCCTGTGAAGGGTCATGAGCGTCTTGAGTCAGAGACAGTGAGCACCATGAGTCTTTTAATGCTAATAGATCCTGATCTTTCGAGGCTCTGAGGGCGATACTCCTGGTCTGACTTTAGACAGCTCATGTTGACCAGAGCAGATAGCTTCACAACAGGGAATTTGCTCTTGGGTACCTTCCATCTGTCAGTAGTCTTAAGTCACAGTCCCCAATGCCTGGAACACATGGGTGCTACCTAATGTGCCAAGAGTGCAGATATAATTATGAGGATTTTTAATGACGAGGTTGTCCTTGGATCGTGTGGGTATGTTCTAGATGAAATTACAATTGAAGAAGGACGAAATTGATTTGGCACAGGAAAGAGAGAGAGAGGTACAGTCTTGAAACAAAAGCTTCCTTTAAATATGGGGGAAGTAACCAGGAGCTCTGGAGTGTGAGGCATACATAAGACTTCAGAGTCTGGGAAAGACAAGAGAAGGATTGTCCCCAGAGCCTCTAGAGGGAAGGTTGCACTCCCAAGACCTTGGTTTGGGTCCAGCATTTTAGGCTCTGACATCCAGAAGTAGAAGAGAATAAATGTGTTGTTTTAAATGGCTAAGCTTGCAGTAATGTGTTACAGCAACCACAGAAAACCATACCAAAAAAAAAAAAAAAAAAAAAGGCAAGGTTCTTTTCATCTAAATGAAAAGCCTGAAGTTTCAGTGTGTATATGCCTAACCGCGACTATTTTTAAGACTTCATTCTATAGGCAAGGTATCACAAAGTAGACAACACAAGCGGGAGTGAAGAAGAGAATTACATAGGCCCAAAGGGTGTGCTTCAAAAGCCACGTGAGAGGCTAGGTGCCAGCCACTAAGCTGGAACCAGAGGGTGTTACCTCCGAGTCACCATGAAAGAATCTGAAAAAGAGCAGTGTGTCCAGCATTTTCCCCACAGATGACGTTTATGACGTCTGTGTTCATAGCTCAGCGGATGGACAATCAGAGGGCCCACAGGACCCATAAATAGCCTGAAGCTCTCACTTCCCCCAGCTCAGAAAGCATGGTTTAGTGGCCGACCTTGGAACTAGATAGATATTAAAATTCAAAACTGAGCAAAGGCGAATTCAGCGAGGAATTTAAGGCACACGTGTTCCTGGCCCAACTGTGGGGGCCTAGAATAAGCTGCTATTCACCGGGAGAGGGTAAGAAGCCCTGACTTTGGGTTCGTGGGATGTGCCTGCTGGAGTAGCAGGAAGTACCTGTGGTTTGTGTTTGGGGAGGGGGAGGCTTTTCCATTGCTCATTTCATTGTTTGCTCACTTCATTGTCTTATTAGCCCCAGAAGACCGTGGGTGCTGGAGGCAAAGAAGAGCAAGGAGACTCACTTCTGAGTCACCTTTCCAGAACCCAGAAGCAGCTTAGGCCACAGGAAAGAAAAGCTGCTAAATTTTGCAACCATGGCAAAATTTTGCTCCTTACCTCCAGGAACACTCTTGAACTTATTCTCTGTTTCCCATTTAAGAGGGTATACATATAAGCCCAGCCTGGGACAGTATAACCAAAAGTGCCTTGGGCAGAGTCTGGGTATCTGTGCTGGGCTCTTTGCTGTGGCTTTCTTCTCTCCTGGGCAAATGGGTTTATTTTGCTCTGAATCTCAGTTGGCCGAGTTTTCCTCCAAACAGCGGCAGAACCATCTCACTCCACATGAGTGCTGCAGCCTGTGAGCAACAGTGGTCTCCACAGCAAGGAAAACCCCGTCTCTAGATGACCTGTGTCACTTCCCTTGGTGCTTTATAGGTTCCACCAGACACTTACTGTACTTTTCTCCTTGTTAAGAGGGAGCATGTCATTTCCACACTTTTCTCTCTTCCTTCTTCTCTATACCACTTACCCGTCAGCTCTGTGTCAGCATCTCAATTAGGCGCTTACTAACCAGTCCACAAGATGCTTTCAAATGTGAGCTATTTCCTAACTGGTAGCAAAGGTATCTTGGATGTTCTTTGCACCTATCCATTTTGATACCCTTTTGAAAACCTTATGTCTCATTCTGTCTCCACAGTATCCTCTGACATCAAGATAGCCAGCTAAGGTCTAAGTCCAGTCCATGCATGGTCCTTGGTCCATACTTCAGTCTCGGAAAGGCATTGGCCATATTTTTAAAAAATAAGAAGACCGAGGGGGATGTGAATAAGAAAAAGTTAGCATTATAAATTATGGGTGGAGTTCTCATAGAATCTGCTTCTTTGTCCCTGCCACCATGCTACGGTGCTTTAGTCCAGGGCTTTTAAAGCATTTCTACTCCTTTCTTGCCCTCTCCCCATCTTCTGATTTTTATTCAACACTAGACATAATATAGGTATATAAAATAGATATTTATATATATTTATATAAATAGATATTTATATATCGAATATTTGCTGATAATAAATCATAAATTTATTTTAAAACATTTTTGGTATACATAGAGTTCTCACCATTTATTAAAGATGAAAGCTAAATTGCATACTAAAGACATGGATGTGCTTGTTTTATTTATTTATTTATTTTATTATTTTTAAAAATTCACTTTACAGAGGGCCGCGGCGCCGCGGAGTATGCTCTATGGACTGTGCACTGCTATGGATGTCTGAAGGACCTGACCTGCAGCCTGGAAGACTTGGCCATCTCCATGCTGGGCTGGATTAAGTGCCTGATGAGGATGGTGTTTCATCGAGTTGGGGTCAGCATGCAGTCAGTCCTTTGGTCTGGAAAACCATATGGTTCATCTAGAAATATCGTAAGGAAAATTGGTACCAGCTTACCTCTGATTTAGTGTCCAAGAGTTCAGTTTCCACTTACCAGGCATGCAACAGAATGGCATTCCATCTGTCCAGGAGAGGATGTAGTGACATCTTTTGCTGATGTTGCATGGATAGCCACAGAAGAAGGAGAGTGTTCAACAAGACTCAGGGCAGAGATGAGGTCCAAGCCTCCCCTTGAGGATGAACTTCCTTTCCTGGACGAGCCCCCAAGCAGGCACATCTCCTTACTAAACCTGTCTCAAGAGGAGCCTTCTCCAAAGATAACACTGGCCAGTGAGGAGGCCTTGCAGAAGATCTCTGCACTTGAGAATGAGCTTGCTGCCCTCAGAGCTCAGATTGCCAAGATTGTGACCCTGCAGGAGCAACAGAGTCCCAGTACAGGTTGCTTAGATTCTTCCACATCTGTTACTGTAATACCCCTCCCTCCTCCTCCCCCCCTCCTCCTCTTCCCTCTTCCCCTCTGATCCACCAAGGTATGTCAGCTCTTGATCTGATTAAAGAGCAAAGAGAGCAAAGACTCAGTGCTGGAAATGGAAAGACTCTGGCTAAGAGTCACCCAAAGAAGCCTGACATGCCAAATATGCTAGAGATCCTTAAAGACATGAGCAGTGTGAAGCTACGGTCTGTCAAGAGGTCAGAGAAAGATGTAAAGTCTAGGCCAGTGGATAGTACTGACCCTGCTACCATCATAGCAGAGGCTCTGAAAAAGAAGTTTGTTTTTCGGTATGATGAGGTTGAAAGAGGTCCAAAGCCAGAGTCAGAGACCACCGCAGAGCCAGTCCTGTTTGGCCCACATATATTGAAGTCTACAGGGAAAATGAAGGCTTTAATTGAAAACGTTCCAGACTGTTAATGGACAGTGAGTTCAGAGACTCCTGGTTCACCTGTTGTTGGCTGCAGAGCTGAGTTTGGCTAATAGAGTATTTAGTAAATTCCTGGCTGTAGTATTTATTGGCCTCCTTCTTAGGGGAATTAGAGGAGCGAGAAGTAGTGGCAACACCAGAAGTTGGTTGGCTCTCCAGAACACACATGTATGATGACATGCTTTTACTAGGTAGCCAGGGTTCATCTTCCAGCCTGGAACACAGACAGGCTATTTGGATATTGTTATGCAATTCCAGTTAACACTAATGTCTGTGCAAACATCTTATATATACATATTTGGATATAAAACAGTACGGAAAACTTATAATGAATGGCATCACTAAGGGTTTCCTGGTCAGCGATGGAACACCAGGCATGCCCTGTTAGTGGAGGACAGTATGAGATAGGAATGCCTCCAACAGGACTTCACATATGTTCTCACTTTTTTTTCCCTGTAGCTGAGTTTACATAAGCAACAGAAGACGTTTAATGCTGAATCTCTGTATTCATTTCTCTCAGAGGGAAGTGAGGACCAGTAAGGCTGCTTAAACCTCATTGCCACCCAATACTGGGAAGCAAATGTACTTCTCAAGTAATAACAAATCAAATTGAATTATATCATTTCAGTAAGAGCAGAATTTTTAAGTTTAATGAGTGTCCTCAAAAAGATGATTTTATTGCTAAATCAACAATTTTGCTGGGCGTGGTGGCGCTTGCCTGTAATCCCAGCACTCAGGGAGGCAGAGGCAGGTGGATCGATGGGAGTTTGAGGCCAAGTTGGTCTACAAAGCGAGTCCAGGACAACGAAGGCTACACAAAGAAACCCTGTCTAGAAAAACCAAATACCAAAACCTAAAAACCTGCAACAGTTGTCTTAGTTAAAGTTCCTGTAGCCATGATGAAACACCATGATCAAAAGCAACTTAGGAGGAAAAGGTTTATTTCACTCAAAGTTCCATATCATCATCAAAAGCAGTGAGTGCAGGAACTAAGCAGGGCTGGATCCTGGAGGCAAGAGCTGATGCAGAGGCCATGGAGGGGTGCTGCTTACTGGATTGCACAGCCTGCTTTCTTATAGAATCGAGGACCTCTAGCCCAGGGATGGTACCACCCACAATGGGCTGGGTCCTCCTCATCAACTGCTAATTAAGAAAGTGCCTTACAGCCTGGCTTGTAGCACACGCCTTTAATCCCAGTACTCAGGGTGGGAGAGATAGGTGGATTTCTGAGTTCAAGGCCAGCCTGGTCTATAAAGTGAGTCCAGGTCAGCCAGGGCTATACAGGGAAACCCTGTCTGGAAAAACAAACAACCAAATAATGCCTTACAGCCAGATCTTATGTTTTTTGGTTGTAAGCCTAGCATTTAATGGCTGAGCCATTTCTCCAGCCTGAAAGCCAGTTCTTAGGAAGGCACTTTCTCGATTGAAGTTCACTTCCTTTCAGATAACTCTTCGCTTGTGTCAAGCTGAAGTGCAACTAGCCAGCACAATACTTCTGGCAATGTCAGCATAATTGAATCTATAATTTTAAAACATTGGTCAAACTATCTTTCTTAATGAAACATTACTGTATAGGTGAAAAAAAAATCTCTTTTAAGCTATTTATCATTGCTCAGCCAATGAATTCCATTACGAAGATAAACCTTAGGTGTTACTGAAAGTAGAAAACTGCCTTTATTTCCTGGGTTTTGGAAGGACTTGTTATAATTTAAAGTACTTAGTAAGTTTTCATGATTGTTGTGTTTCTGGTAGACTAAACTATTTTAATGTCAGAATCTCTTACCATGAGTAAATATCTCTATTATTTAAATCTAGAGATGAGTGGTTCTTCCCAGGAAAATTTAAGCGATGGGAAGTGTAGATAGATATTTTTTAAGTTATTGAAAATATGTATTCTAAATCTTAACAAAGATTGAGCTATTTTTCATAGCTTATTTAGTTTAAATCGTGGTGTGTTGTTGATGTATATTGTTTCCAAACATTTTATATGGTTTGAAAACTTTTTTAAGAGATTCAAAAAAGGCATCTGACCACATATTTTGACCTAAGAAATTTATCAGTATTGAATTTGGTTAGTATTCCAATATATGAAAGTTTCTGTTTTAAAATAAAGCAAGCTGTTGAAATTTCAAAAAAAAATTACTTTACATCCTTGTTGTAGCCCCATCCCCTCCTCTCTTCCCAGCCCAACTTCTTCCCTCTTTCCTCCCCCTCCCCTTTTCTATTCACCCCAGACATGAGTGCTGCAGCCTGTGAGCAACAGTGGTCTCCACAGCAAGGAAAAACCTCATCTCTAGATGACCTGTGTCACTTCCCTGGTGCTTTATGAGTTACTGCTCTTGTACTTTCCACCCCAGCTCATCAAATCCCATCAGGACCGAGCCTTTCCTCTTCCCCGCAATAGCCTTCCCTGGCAATAGCCTTTCCTCTTCCTCTTTCCTCTGCCTGGAAAGGCAGTCCCTCCAGGAGAAAGTGATCAAAAAAAAAAAAAAAAAAAACTGGCAAGTGAGTCCATTTCTGATCTAGTTCCCACTTCCCTATCTAGAGAACCCACATGAAATTTAAGCTATGCATCTGCTACATCTTTGTAGGGTGCTGAGGTCCATGCATGGTCCTTGGTTGATGCTTTAGTCTCAGCAAGCCCCTCTGGGTTCTGGTTAGTTGGCTCTGTTGGTCTTCTTGGAACGCTCCTGTCACCTCCAGGTCCTTTTCTCTTTCCTCCCACTTTTCTACAAGATGCCCTACCTGCCACCCAATGTTTGGCTGTGAGTCTAGGCATCTGTTTTAAGGCACTGCTGGGTAGAGCCTCTCAGAAGACATCTCTGTCAGGTCCTGTCTGCAAGTTCAGCAGAGTATCCTTCATAGTATCAGGGGTTGGCACTCTCTGATAGGGTGGGTTTTTTGTTGGGCCAGGCATTGTTGGGCATTCCCTGAATCTCTGCTTTATCTGTTCTATCTATTTTTGGTATACATAGAATCTCACAGCTTAAAGATGTCTCACAGTTAAAGTTTTAAGATCTCATAGTTTAAAGATGAAAACTAATTTGCATACTAATGAAATGGATGTGCTTGACTTGTTGTTGTTGTTTTTACAAAAAGAATTATTAAGTCCTGGCTAAATAGTTGATAATGCAGGTCATAGGATATCTTCAAAAGTTTTCAGAGTTGACACATATTTTGGTTTGTAGGAGTCATTGTTGACCATAATTGCCACATCACAAAATTACACAATATGAGATAGCAGAGGCATTTTGGGGGCCATTTCAGAAATTGTTGCAAATTCCATCCTAACCTCAAGGCAGAAACCCATCTAACATTAAAAAAAAAAAGAAAGAAAGAAAACCAAGCCAGCAATCAAACCAAGTTTTTTATGTTGCTACAAATTTAATTTTTGGTTTGTTTGTATGGATGTTTGCCTGTGTGTATGTGTGCACACAATGGACATGCCTGTTGCCCACAGAAGTCAGAAGAGGACACCAAATTCCCTGGAACTGGAGTTCATATTGTTGTGAGTCACCATGTGGGTGAAACATGGGACCTCTGTGAGAACAGCGAATGCTCTTAACCATGGAGCCATCTCTTCAGTGCCAAACAGCAGGTTTTAAAACCAAGTATTTTAACACAACACAATCCGAACTAATATGATCCTTACATGATGAAGAATGACATTGGGAAATCATTAAGTTTTTGTTTTACATAATTAAATTCCCCAGCATGCAATGTTCTTTAGTCTGCATTGGAGTGTTTCAGGCAGTGTTTGTTGGCGTGGTGGCACGTTATGTCCCTCATCTTCTCTCTCTTTTTTTCAACAAATGAGAAGATTGTGGCTCCAAAGGTTAAGCAATAGGACTCTCCAATTTCAGACTGTGCACCTATCATGGAATAAAGCTCGAGTTTGATAGTTTGACTTCAGAGGCCTGGATCTCAGCTGTTATCTGAACTGAGATAGAAGAAGCCTTCACAGTGGAGCAAACTCAGGTACAAAGTATGAATTTAGAGAAAATAAGGTAACTCTCATAAGGAATCAATAAGTAGCACCTGGCTGCTGAACATTGCCCTAGGGCAATGGTAAGGGACATGCTCAGGAGGAGCTGTAGCATGCTCCTCGAGTCACTGCTTGTCGTGACTAACACTGATTGTCAAGTATGCAGGGTTTGGAATCACAGTAGAGACGAGACTCATGGAGTATCTTTCTATGAATGGTTACCTAGATAGGTTAGCTGAAGGGGGAGGAGCCACAACCCATGAGGCAGCACCATTTAGTGTCTGAGGTCCCAGACTGGACATAAAAGACAATGCTGGTGAGCACCATCATTCATCCTCCTTGCCTTCTGACTGTAGTGTGTCCAGCTGCTTCACACTACTGTCACCCTGCTTCTCTGCTGTGATGGTTCCTACTCTCAACTGAGAGCCAGAATAAACCCTTGCTTCCGGAAGTTTGTCGTGTGTTTTGTTGCAGCAATGAATGCACCGGCATACCTTGGGTATAGAGGAAATTTAATTTAGAACATGGCTGCTCTGTCAAGAGATCAGATCCAAAACCTCCTAGGTCTGATGATCTGGCTGGCATACAGAAACATCCCTAAACCCAGGAGATAGAGGCAAGCAGATCTCTGAGTTCAAGGCCAGCCTGCTATAGAGCAAGTTTCAGGTAAAGAAAAGCTTAGGTCCAGGCATGGTGATACACATCTTTAATCCCAAACAATGAAGGTAAAGTTAGTTTGTAGAAGGAAGCACTTATGTTTGAAAGTGATGTCTAATTAAGTGGCATACAAAGTGACAAATCAGAGAAAGATTTGACAGAATAGGATATGCCCAACTCATGAGAAGAAAGGGAAGCTACTTAAGGGAGCAGCACAGAGAATGAGGAGAGAAAGGCAGTTTTTACCGGGAGAGTTTTATAGAGCCAGGTTGAAGAGAAAACGATGGACACAGGTGAAGGCAGAATGAACCAGAGAATGAGAAGGAGCCAGAAGATTAGAATATATTA